AGAGAATAGAAGAAATTCAGGCAAGAAATTCACTAGCATGTGAGTAAATGCTGTAGAAGGAAAAAAGGAATAGATACGGCAAATAATAAGCTAATAATAGGAGTATATTAATTTGCTACAGCTGCCATAATTAAGTACCACAAACGAGATGAGTTAAGAAGTTTATTGTCTCACAGTTCTGGAGTTGTTGGCAGAGTTGGTTCTTCCTAAGGGCTGTAAGAGAAGGATCTCTTTCAGTCCTCTCTGTGTCTTGTACATGATTATCTTCTCCATGTGTTTTTCTGCATCGTCTTCTCTTTGTACATGTCTCTCTATCCAAATTTCCCCCTTTTTATAAGGACACCATTTATTTTGATTAGAGACCACTCTGATTACTTCATTTAAATTTGATTACCTCTGTAAAGACTCCATCTCCAAATAAAGTCACATTCTGAGGTATTGAGGGTTAGAACCTCCAACATATCTTTTTTGGGGGGAGGGATATAATTCAGCCGATAGCAAGGAGAAATTTTTCTGAACTTAAGACTTGGAACCAAGGACTCAAAAGAGTTTACACTTAGGATCTTTAAAATGTAAAAGTCCTTGAAAGTCATTCAAGCTCTCAGATGGGAAAAGATTACTTACAATTGAAAAAAGTATCAGAAAAACAATGGACTTTTTACTTGCAACATTAGAAGGAAAAGAACAGACAGTAAGAGAATATCTACAAACTACTGAGAGACTGTTACATTCGGCCAACACATCATTCTCCCATTTAAAAAAGTAAATTTTTGCATACACAGGGGGTTATTAGAGTTTATTATCTACATATTTTACCTGAAGAAAATAATCAGAAAAAGTCTGCTAAGTAAACAATTGAGTCAGAAGAGATATTCACAATAGGGTAAGATGAAGGGAAGAGGAAACTCTAATAAGCAATATATACATTTATATATATTTAAATTTATACATACATTTATATTAAAATGGATGGTGAAATTTATAACATAAATGCATAGAAAATAGTAAAGATTCTTGAAATAAAACAGCAATACTAAGAACCTACTGGCTGTAACAAAAACCACATCAGCGTAAAACAGTAGTTAGAAGGGTGGGGAAGTGAAAGCATGCTAAGAGTTTTGCCTTGCTGGGTATAGAGGGACAGTACAAATGTAGGGTCTTGGTGGGGGAGGGATTTAATTTTATTGTTTTGCTGAGATAGTATCCTAATAATGGAAAAAAGTGAAATTTTAATGATTGATAATGGGAAAAAAGTATGAATGATAATTTCACTCAGAAAAAACTGAAAAAGAGTAAGAAGAAACTGAAGAAAGTAATGTAAATACTAATCAAAGTAAGATGAAAGGGAAAACTCAAGTTTTTACACTAACTGTAAATGAAATGAATTTCCCTATTGAAAGGCAGACATGTTCAAATTGGGCTAGTCAAAACAAAAAACAGAAAAATAAACAACAAAAATGCCAGGCATATGTTGTTTAAATAAAGACAGTCTTTTTAAAAGTGGCAGATAGTGGTAGATAGATAGGCAGGATGATTCCAGGACAGCCCAGAGCTCATCAAAATACATTATTTATTTCAAAGAGGAATTTAAGATCCCTTAATCTTATAACGTGAAGCATTATGAAATGATAGAAGACTTGATTTTAGAAGAAGTGTCAAAGTTGTATTGAACAACATAATAGCTAAATGTATAAATTAAAAAAATCCTATATTATTCAACAACTTGGATCCCTTCCGAGAATAACTTTTATCTGATCAATGATTAAAATCCTATGTTTGAGAATTTCCCTACTGTAAATTATTCTGCACCTTTAATTTTCTCTATGGTTTTTATCTGTCCCAAGGCTAAATAAATTTGACAAAGATGTTAGGTTTGTAAACAAGTTTATTTTCAAATTCTTTGCCTGGAAGCATCTAGACAGAACTTTATATTTAAAAAAGTGTATTTACAACTAAAAATTAGACATTTCAAATTAAAATGACTTTAACGTAGGTGGCTGCAGGGAAGAGTTATTGAAGTTTGTTTTGGCAGTATGAATGAATTACTTATGAAATTCTAAGATATTATAGTTGTTTTTATAAAATTGTGTGTTATTTGAAGAAACCTCAATTTTCTGGCAGTTTTGCAAGTGATCTATGCTACATACAACAAAAACTTGTTTTCCAGCTTTATAAAATATATTTTAGATTAACTACAGACCACATATGTATATATACTTTGAGACCAACTTTTGACTCTCTTGTCAAGGGTTTTCATTTGTGGCAAATATAAACTTATTAATGACTACTAACATTTGTAAAAATGTTTTATAGTGAATAAAGTATATATATATATTACATATTTTATCTTATTATATATAATATAAATAGTATCACCAAGACTTGGGTTATCAGTTCTGATTCAGCGAATCATAGATCTTACCCAACACCAAACTGCTAATGATTCAAAAACTGCAGGCAAGCACCAAGTACACATGGAATATTCTATTTTTTTGGAGGAAACTGTTAAAACACAAATTCCAAAATGTCCTTTTCTACTGCATTAGGACATCTTATGGTTTTGGAGTAACAATAGTTTGAGCAATGTATGCAAAAAAATTACACAAAGGAAGTTGTTTTGGTTTTGGTTCTTCTGTTCAATTCTAATAATTACATAGCTTACCTGACTATCAAATAGGAACTCTTTGATATTTTTCTGTTATTAATGCCATTGATTGGTTTGCAAGGCTACAACTTAGTTTGGGGTCATTAGCATGTTTAAGGGACCCCTGGTTGAGGTCATTCATTCCCAATCCCCAGTAGGGAGAGTGAGTTACTTGGTCTGCTGTTAACCTTTTCCTTCCCAGTGTGTGAGAGTGGTGGAGTTTGTTCTATGTGGAAATTTTTGCTAAAGTAATCTTTAAATTTTTTCTTCTAAAATTTATCAATATTCTCAGTTTTGGGGGTTTATGCTTGGGAAAATGAGCAACTAAAATAGATACTTGTTAGATATTGTTTAATTTCTTAAGAGTTTTTATTGCTAAATATCAAAAGGGATAACCGGCTATCCCTAAGTCATAAATAGTTGTTTTGATTATTTCATATTAACATTATGTTTCATCATAAGAATCTGCAGGTATATATTCAAAACTGCTGCCCCTTGACTAGAAATATGAAATAAAATGAAGGTTGGGGTTTTTGAAGACTTTTATTAAGAGCTAAGGCTACTTCAATTTAGTATAAGTCATATGAGGATATAGATCCATTTTACCATTAATAAAAAGTAAGTTATGATTCTCTTATTCATTGTTTCCTATAACCATTCTTGAAGTTTGATTTACATTGAGGAGAGCCCTCAAAGCAAGTAACAGATTGAAAATATATCATCTAGGAAACTCTTAATTTTAGGGAAACTTGTTCATTTGTTGGTCCAAGAGCATAAAACAAAAAAAAACCTTAATATAGAAAAGCTGTTGTGTGTCTCAAAATTCCTTTTCAGTAGACTTGTGAACAAATCTAACAGTTTTCTGAGTTTACTTAGATCTTGGGACAGATGATAAAATTAAAGATGTCAAAAATTTATAGCAATTTATACACTCACAGATTCTCATCATTAATGAGATAAAGATTATTCTTTGAAAGGATCAAAGTCATAGAATAATAGGATTTGCTTTTCTGGCTGATAGACTTTAGTGTTTTTTAATAATTTTTTAATTTTTCAATTACAGTTGACATACAGTATTATATTAGTTTCAGGTGTACAACATAGTGATTAGACATTTGTATAACTGAAGAAGTGATTACCCCCCAAAATCTGGTACTCATCTGACACCATACATAGTTATTACAATATTATTGACTATATTCCTTATGCTACTTTACATCCTCATGACTTTTGTAAATACCAATTTGTACTTCTTAATTCCTTCAACTCCTCCCTCCCCCAGCCTTCTTTTACCTGGCAACCATCAGTTTGTCCTCTGCATCTATGGATTTTTCTGTTATATTTGTTCAATTATTTTGTTTTTTAGATTCCACACATAAGTGAAGTCATATGTCATTTTTTTTCTGTCTGACTTGCTTCACTCAGCATGGTACCCTCTAGGTCCATTCATGTTGTTGCAGATGTCAAGATTTCATTCTTTTTTATGGCTGCGTAATATTTCATTGTGTATATGTACTACCTCTTCCTTATCCATACTTCCTTTGGTGGATACTCAGGTTTCCTCCATATTTTAACTATTTTAAATAATGCTGAAGTACACATGTCCCTTTGAAATAATATTTTGGGTTTCTTCGAATAAATCCCCAAAGTGGGATTGCTTCTTTGTCTCTTGTTATAGCCTTTGTTTTAATGTCTGTTTTGTCTGGTATAAGTATTGTTCCAGATTTTTTTTTAATTTCCATTTTTGTGAAATATCTTTTTCATCCCTTTACTTTCAGTCTGTGTGTGTCTTTCATTCGGAAGTGAGTGTCTTGTAGGCAGCATATATAAGGGTCTTGTTTTTCTTAACCATTCAGCCACCCTATGTCTTTTGATTGGTTCATTTAATCCATTTACATTTAAAGTAATTGTTGGTAGATATGTAATTACTGCCATTTTATTATTTGTATTTTTGATCTTTTTCTTCTTAAAGAAGTCCCTTTAACATTTCTTGTAATATTGGTTTAGTGATGATTGACTCAGACTTTGTTGTTAAATCACAGAAACTTTATTTAGTGCGAAACAAAAATCGTTAAGTCCATCGGAATAATAGGATTTTGAAACTGTTGGAACCTTAGCACTCAGTTAAACGGGCTCACTTATTTTGAAAAGAATACAAAATGTGTAGTTACTAGATCTAGCATATTTTATCAGTTTCTTTTTCTTTTGTGATTCTAGCTCTTATATTTTATTTGAGCCTAAGTGCCATAACTGACTAAATATGTATGTTTGGTTCTTCAGCAATATTGACAGGCCTATCTTTGAGTTTTCTTTCAAAGATTGTACTGTATTTATCCACAAATTAATTGATTTTTAGATTTTACAACTAGACCCTTTTAAAGATGAATGAAAAAAGATTGGAAACTTCACAGCAGCGGAAACTTCCTGAATGGATGTCCGTAGAGAATAAGAGATGTGCTGTAGAAGAAAGAAAGGTATGCAGTTCACCAGTTATTCCTTCAGATGGAAAATTTTATGTAAATTTGACTGCAAAATGAGTCAATCCTCACTTTTAAATTTCAAGTCATTAAGTTAGAGTAGCTGTTGTGTGAATCAATCAAAATCTAGTCGTTGAATGGGTGAATGGGATTACATTTTAATTGAGTTTACAAAGTGGGAATTCTTACTCTGTACTTTCCCCTTTTATCTATTTTGGTGGTGACCTTATTAGTTTGTTGCAATTTAGGTTATAATTTAGGCAGTATTTGCTGAATTTTTATGGTTGAGTGAGTTTAGGTCTTCATAGATTTAATATCTACCAGTCTTCAGCATTTTAAGGCAACATTATTACATCTAGAATACTAATATAATTCCAGAAAAAATTAATAAAATAAATGTTTTTATGAAAATAGCATTAATTGCAAATAAACTTGTTAGAAAAATAATTTTACAATGGATGGCTTTACCTTTGTTATGTTGCCCTTCTGACTTCAATAGTCTATAAAGTATTAGGTGATAAAATTTAGAACTATAATTCGAATGCTTCAGTGGACTTTGTTATTTTAATCAGCACTTATTATTTAATGTGAACTTTATTTTTACCTTTTTGGAATTTTATTTAACTCCAGGCACCTATTCAGAAGAGTGTTTTTGAAGATGACCTCCCTTTCTTAGAATTCACTGGATCCATTGTATACAGTTATGAACCTAGTGATTGTTCTTTCCTATCAGAAGATATTAGGTAAGAGATTTGAATTTCCTAGTTTCATTTGAATTTAGAACCTTAGGAGATAACTATTTTGGTAATATTTGTAAATAAAGTGAGTTTTACAGATGAGGTATGTTTAAGAGATAATTATTTCTACATGTATAATATCACTGATAAGTTTTAATTCTTTTTAAGTAAAAACTTAAAATCACAGAATTAAATTTATAATGTATCAGTTTGTTCATTCGTAAGCCTTTCTATTACTTTAGCTAATTTTTTTATTTTTAATACTTAAGGTGTTATATAAAACTATTGAACACATGTGATTAGGAAATATGCAAGTATTATTCAAACTCTAAATGCCCCTTTATATTTCATTAAAAATACCAACATAGTAATATTGAATAATGATTGTGATTGGCTCTATTGCATTTATTTAGCAACAGTTATGGCAAATGATCATTAAAATAACATTAGACATGACTTCATATTTTAAAGAATTGTTTTGTTAAATTAGGATTCTGCAATAATGCAATCTAAGGCTCTTGAAACATTTTACAAGAAGTAATAAGGAATTCATTCAGATCTTCTTTGAAGTTGTTACATCTTTTTTTTTTTTTTGACTATTATACATTGGGTTAAAAGAAGCAGAAGTAAGTTATGCTATTTATTAACAGTCTTCTGGTGGTAGATATATTCTAGAAATTGCATTCATGTGTCATCACTCCATTAGTTATCTGGTCACTTTTGGGTCTCATTGTATTTAGAACTAAATTTGTCTCAAAGAAGGTAAAATCTGTTATTTATCATTATATATTAACTCCACCATTTTATCCTTGAGAGTGGTAGTATATCATATCTGAGGGCAATAAACATAAGTGATTTGGAGAATGTAGTTTGGATCAGTTGTATATGTTTTATAAAAGGCAGGCAGGTTTTTTTCCCACCTCCTCTGGCCTTTAAAAGATTTTTGCTATCACAAATTTTCAACAATTTGATTATGATGTGCCTTTTGTGTAGTGTGGTTCATGTTTACTCTGCTTGGGGTTCATTGAGCTTTCTGGATCTGTGGGTTTATAGTTTCATCAAATTTGAAAATTTTCTTCAAATATTTTTTTCTCTTATCCTGTTACTCTTCTCCTCCTGGTACTCTATATACACACAAGTTAGATTGCTTGATACTGTGTCATTGGTCCTAAGGCTCTCTTTCAGTCTTTTTTTGTTTTTCTTTCATCCTTTTTTCCTCCCCGTGCTTCAATTTGAATAGTTTCTTTTGCTATGTCTGCAGGTTCACTTATTTTTTCTTCTTTAGTGTCTGATCTGCTGTTATCCTATCCATGAATTTTTAATTTTATAATATTTTTCACCCCTAGAGGTTCTATTTGTTTCTTTTTAAAAAATATCTTTCATTTTGGCTCTCATCATATTCATGTTTTCTTTTAAATCTTTAAACATATTCAGCATATTTACAATAGCTCTTTTAATGCCCTTGTCTGTTAAGTCCTTTATTCTAGTTATTTTTTCCATTAAATGATTTTTATCCTGGTTATGGATCTGATTTTCCTGTTTTCTTTCTTATGGCTGGCAGTTTTTGATTGGACATTGTGATTTTACCTTCTCGAATGTTAGATTTTGTTGACTTCCTTCAAAGAAAGAAATTTTGCTCTGTCAGGCAGCTTTACATTTTGCGGCTTATTTTTAAGCTTTATCAAGGCAGGTTTCTACAGCAGCCTTTACTCTGGGGATAATTTAGCCCTGTAATAAGGTGTGACCCTTCTTGAGTCTTTGCTGATTGCCCCAGATGATCAACAAGTATCTCTATTCCAATTTTTCAGACCTTTAATGCCTCTTACCTCTATGTAAGCCCTAGGAATTGTTCAGTTTACAGTTCCCTGGTCATTTTTTGTCCAGCCTCACAGTTTCACTCTGTGCTTGCATGTCCTTACCTGCCTAGCTCCCTCCTCTCCAGAACTCCACCCAAAACGTCCAGCGGCCTCAACTGTTCTGGCTCTGAACCCTATCTCCCCAACTCAGTGCTCTGCTTTGGATTCTCCTCCCTGCCCTGTTGTCTGGAAAGTGTTCCAGGCAGAAAGCTGGGGCAACAGCAGGACTAACCTTTGTTTCTCTTCACTCAGAAAGCATAGTCCTGTACTGCCTATTGTCCAGTGTCTGAAAACTTTATATATTTTGTCCAATTTTCTATTTATTCATGGAGGAAAGGTATGTCTGATCACTGTTATTCCATCTTGTCCAAAAGCAGAAATAGAGCTAAAATTTTTTTTAAAATACATTTTTAATTTTAAAAAATTGAGAAATAGGCAAATATAAGCAGTAATAGATAATAAAACAGTTATATTTCTCCCACCTCGCTTTATCAAATCTTAATATTTATTTTCTTCAAATCTTTATTAAGAAATGAAACAATAAAATCTACCTGAAGCCCCATGTATGCCCTTTCTGATTTTCCCTTCTGCAGCCCTCTGTGATAACTTCTATCATGAGTTCAGTGTTTAGCATTCCCTCACATGTTTTACTATGCCATAATTTGCTCATTCTTTTGTTGATGGAAATATAATTTGTTTTCATTTTCTCCAGTAGAAACAGTATTGTAATGAATATTCTTAAACATTTCTGTCTGGTCGTGCACATATAAGAGTTTTATGTATTTGTGAGAAAAACTTGCCAGGTCATAGTGTTTATATATCTTTAGCTAGATATTGTCAAAGTTTTTCCAAGAGGATTTTACAATTTAAACATTCACTAGTATATGAGTGGTCCCACTAGCAGATGTCCTTCTTAGCACTTGATATGATAAGGCTTTAATTTTTGCCAAATGGATGTGAAATTGCATAGATTTAATATGCATTTCTCTTATTTCTAGTGAGATTTTATGTCTTCATATATTTATTTGCATTTATTGGCCATTTGAGTTTCCTTTTGGGAATCACCTGTTCATATTTCTCTCTCTTTCTCTCTATCTTTTTTTTTTTTTTTTTACTGGATTCTTTTTTCTTTTTCTTACTAACCTTTCAAGGAATTTTTACAATTTTGGGGGTATTCATTAGCAGTTATATGTATCACAGATATCTTTTACCATCTGCGGCCTGTCTTTTAACTTTTTGACTGATATCTTTGGTTATACAGAAGTGAAAATTTTAGTGTAATTATTTTATATATTTTTTCCTCCTATAGCATGAGTTTATCTGATGGAGATGTGGTAGGATTTGACATGGAATGGCCACCAGTATACAGTAAAGGAAAGCTGAGCAGAGTTGCACTAATTCAGTTGTGTGTGTCAGAGAGCAAATGTTACTTGTTTCATATTTCCTCTATGCCAGGTTGGTATCTCTTTTCTTTGCTTCATTTTTATATGGTAGATAATTATATTATGTCAACTTTATCCCTAAAAAATTAAGCTCTGGAATTAGCTGGCACTTCTCTCATCGCCTTAACATTTAAGTAATTATGTTCTACCTGATTCATTCATATTCCTGTTTATTTAATTTTCACATCTCTATCAGACATTGATATTATTCCTGTTTTAGAGAATAGAGGACTGAAGTTTAAAGGGGCTAAACGACCACAAATATACTATTAGTGTCAGCAGAGGTAGCATTCAAACCAGTTGTTTTTCTTGTCATTTTTTAGTCAGTACTTTCTGCTTAAATAAGAAAAGAAACACTCAAGATAAATATGTCTCTGAATTTAAACTTAACATAAACATGAATTTAAATATAAATATAGAATGTATAATAAGTAGAAAATAAATCTCATACTTGATAGGACCTAAGGAAATAATAATAAAATGTTATAGTTTTTCCTCAGGGTTTAAAAATGTTGCTTGAAAATGAAGCAATTAAAAAGGTAGGTGTTGGAATTGAAGGAGATCAGTGGAAACTTCTACATGATTTTGACGTCAAATTGAAGAGTTTTGTGGAACTAACAGATGTTGCCAATGAAAAGGTAGACATAATATCTGTATATATATTATTTTCATAAACAAGATAAATTTGTGTTTCACAGAATGTCCCTTCTATCTGAATGTTAGATTTTTTGAAAAAAGAATTTAAGCTGTGTGTTTTGTAATAAAAGAGGTCTCAAATGAGTGTTCCTTAACGAAAACCTTTAGTTCTAATCCACTGCCTTAGCAAATAGTTTTTTTAAACACCTCCCTCATATTAGTACTACTTCACTGTTTCATATATTTGCAAATTTAAATAACGTATTTTAAGTTTATCTCTTTAATCCATTTATATCAATACCCAATACCTTTTTTTTTTTTTTTTTTTTTAAGAGAGAGCATAATGCAGCTCTTGTGGTATGATGCTCTTAGTGGAAGTTTGACCATCAATTCCATCATCCATATTTCACATATTTTATTAATGTAGTTATTAGATTTTATTCTCACATATAGCCAAGTATTTATTTGGCTGAGAAGTAGAATGCCTACCAATCGATTCAACTTCTTTTTCCATTAACAATACTTTTACGTTCAATAATTTTAATAACTACATTGGAGAAATTCTAGAATTAAATTCTTACAAATGTGGACTGCAAATGAGATTTTTAATGACAAGAAATTTATTAAGGACTCTATGACTTATATTTTGGTGTAACATTTCCAACTTTGTGGCATGGTCATTTGATGGTATTTAGGAATATCTGAAAATAGAAGGAAATAATTTTTGCTATGTCTGTTGTTCATTACTTCTAGCTGAAATGTGCAGAGACCTGGAGCCTCAATGGTTTGGTTAAACATCTCTTCGGTAAACAGCTTCTGAAAGACAAGTCTGTCCGCTGTAGCAAGTGGAATGATTATCCACTCACTGAGGATCAGAAACTGTACGCAGCCACTGATGCTTATGTATGTACCAAAGATCTTTAGACTATGATGTATTTTTTAAACCTCTAATAAATTACTTTAGAAAAATTTTATTGTGGTAGTGGCACAAATTCAGCTAAAACATTTTAAATCAGTTTGGCCTTGTAAGTGCTTAGGAAGACATTCAGTGAAACTGTTAATTCTCAATATTATAAGTGCTTAGGAAGACATTCAGTGAAACTGTTAATTCTCAATATTAATGAACAAGTACCAATCAACAGATTTTTCACTGCTAGTTATTTTTATTGTCATGAAGCCAAAATAATGTCCAATTTGTATATAAAAAATATGACTTCTCTGAAAACATGAAAGGCTAATAAGTCCAGACTGAGCATGCATAAATGGTATTGATGATACATTTGATTTAGAAGCAGCTTCAGAATAAAAATAATTACAAGACAGTTTCTATATTGAAACTGGTCCTATTTCTTATATTTATATTTAAAATGTGGTAAAAATTTAGAAAAATTGCCTCCAGATTTAGCCTTCCACTGCTGTCAGAGATATTTTCATATTTATACATTCGTACATAGTGAAATCTGGGCTTATCCTTATATGTAGCACTATTGGTTTTTTTTAATCAAAAAATATATTTTATGTCCCAGTGAATTTCTTTTTCCCTAATTCATACTTTTATGTGTAGGTAAATATCTTATTGTTTCCCTTTATTTTTTGGCATCTGTTTTTAGAAATGGAAACTTCTTTTATTTATAAACAAAAACATTTGTCAGAAAATAGGATGGTAATTTTTATGTTCTGTTTTAAAAATCATAAAACTTGTTGAGAACTAGCTTAAGCTTTATAACATTTTTATTCTTGCAAAATCAGTGTGACTTAATTGTTTATTCACTAATACCCACTTATAATATTGAATGTTAAAACATGAAAATTTAAACTTTTATTTTAAAACACTTATTTTTTCCATCCTTACAATTGGCGTGGTGAATAAATGAAGCCATTTAAATTGTTGTGTAACATAATAGGTTGAATTCAGTTTTTTGGGTGCTTTGGCAGTCATTGTTTTGGATTTTTGTAAAGATGGGTCAGAGTTTTATTTTGGTGATCTTTAGTATGCTCTTTTCATTTTTCTGTTTTTCCATAGGCTGGTCTCATCATTTATCAAAAATTAGAAATTTTGGATGATGATATGCAGTTGTTTGCTATAAATAAAGGTATGTTATGATCTAATAAAAATAAAAGATAAAATTTGAATTGCTCTTTGGTCAAGTTTATCTCTAAAAAGACAATATTTACACATGTGCAAAGAAAGTATTTAGTATTTTTACAAGTTCTTGAAAGTCTGAGCAGTGTTGACATTAGGTCAAGAAACATTTGGCCAAAGCTTAGGGTTTCAGGCTTGTGCGCTTGTGGCAAAGCAGGACTTACCACTTCTACTTTGTAGTGTTGCTGTTTATTAAATTTCTAGAATTGAGGCTTTGTGGCTTTGATAACATCAGTGATACAACCAGCTCTCTCCCAGTTTTACATCTTTGGAGATTTTACGTCTTTGCTATAAATATTTAAAGTGTATAAGATGTTTTATAGTGCCCTGGTTTAAATTTCTAAGTTTTCTCTAAGGTAGGATAACTCCACTGCTTTTCTCCAAAAAGAGTAGCCACTTCATTCAACTTCAGGGCCTTTTTCAGATATCTCTATAGGTCTGTGGCAGCAGCAGACCTATGTAGAACAGTGGAATTGCGTAGGCTTTTGCGTTACATAGACCAATGGTGGAATCCCAGCCGTGTGACCCAGAATTTATCTATTTCCCTGTGTTTGGGTGGGTGATATGTTGGTGATAGCATATCTGTTACATAGAATAGTTGCGGGCACTAAAAGGGATACTATTCAAAGCACCTATGTTGATCTGTATATAGTTGTTATTACTATTTTTGTAGCTTACTTTTAGAGATTTTAAATAATTCTGTTTTTTAAGATGTCAATTAGGTGATTTTGCAAAATAAACTTAAAATATAGCATGACCTTCTCATTTAAAAATTATGTAATAGCCTTTATAGTTCTCATGAGAAGGGATCCATACTCTCTGTGGTAGACCCTCTTTTACATGCTAGGGTAGAAGAGTTTTTTATACTTTTCTTTCTCTCCCTGGAAAACCACTTTTGGTGAGTGCCCACTGAGTCTCTGTAGCCAAAGGTACTATGGCTAGAAATCATCTTGATTAACTGAGGCAGATGATATGTTTTTGAAGTTGATCTAGAGAACAAGATATAAGAACTGATTTAACTCATAAAAGGATTAAATTCAACAGAGGAGACTCACAATTTTCTGATTTTGTGGTTTGCAGAATTGCTTGTAGGTTACACTTGTGATTTTGTCTTTGACGAAAATGCTTCAGAGGAATGTTTAAGATATTTCTCACTAAAGTAACATGTATTTAGAAGTCAGTACTGGAAGTCCTGGTATCTGTGTACCTGTCACAGCAATACTGCATTCTTTGATCCTCACTTTTATTCTGTATTACATTATATGCATAAGTATATTATGATATCTGAAGTGAAGTGACTTGACTAGGATACCAGCAAATTGTAACTAAGATTACCATTCTTTTTTTTCCCCTCCCCTCTCGTCTTTTCTCCCTCTCTTCCTTCCTGTTATTAAGTCAGAGGTATCAACTTCACCTTTCTTGAATTTCCCCGATCTATACATAGATGATATTTTCAAATGACCAGTTTTGGTTTGTGTTATAAGATTGTTTTTCTTTTCTTATTATTAAAGGATAAAAGTAGAATAGAACATCAGAAAATCAAAGGAGTTTTGCACATTGTTTCTCATTGTTAAAATATTAGCTTATTCACAAGATGGTAGCTAATAAGTACTAAATGATATAGTAGTTAAGTGTGTATTTATTTATTTATTAAACATTGTTGAGTGCTTTACAATAGTGAACAAGACAGGCGTGAATCTATTTCCTGAGAGGAAAACTTACAGTTTTGTGGGGGATATAGATGCACAAAAAAGTCAATTGCAGTGTGGGCAGATGAGTCTTTTGATGTGAGAAAACAAGATGCTATGGTTAGCTCATAGGAGAGGCATCCAATGCATATTTGGAGATATTAGAGGATATTTCCTGGAGAAAGTGATGTTGAAGCAAGACTTGAAAGAAGAGCAGGAGTTAGCTAGTTGAAGAGTAAAGAAAAAGTATCATAGGCACAGGAGATAATGGGTGCAAAGTTTCAGAGGTGAGAAATCATGGTATCTATAGGAAATTGAAAATAGTTCAGTGTGATGAACTATCGAATATGACAGGGTGAAGAGTGAAGGAGAAGCAGACAAAGGAAAGCAGGTAAGTTATGTTAAGAAGTTTACATTTCCACCTAAGCCCAAGTGAGGGTTCTAAACACAGTTATTTTACAATAACTCAGGCTGTAGAGCCAGAAATGGATTATAGGAGGGCAAGGGTCATGTTGGGAAGACCTGTTAGGAGACTACACCAGCAATCCAAGTGAGAGGTGATGGTGACCTGGCTTGATTGGTTGTATCGAGGATAGAGGGAAGTGGATAGATTCAGACTACATTTAATAGAGCAGTAGAATCAACAGAATTTAATGTAATGATGAGAGCCATGTGTCAAAGATCATTTCTGTATTATTGGCATGAGCAACAGGGATGAAAAACATTGAAGAGGAAGAGCAAGATTTGGAGATGAGTCATACAGTTGATTTTAGGTAGGCTAAAGAAAGGAAGCCTGTGAGATAGCAAAGTGGAGGTAACTGGTAGGCACTTAGATGTACATCCTGTAACTCAGAGGATAGATTGAGTTAAAAATAATCGGCAGTTAGAGATAAAGAATTGGGGCTAAGAAACTTGAGGAACTCTTTAGTATTTGATGTTTGTATGGAGGAGGGGACACCAGAGGAACTGTCATGGGCATAGAAGGAGATTAGGAGGTGTGGTATGCAGAAGGCCAAGTTAAGAACACATTTTTAATCAAAAACAGACTCACAAATATAGTGGACAATATGGTGACGGACGGGGGCGGGGGATTGGGAGCTGAGAGAATGGGGTGAAGGGTTAAAGAATTACAAATTAATAGTTGATAGATGGTCACGGGGATGGGGAGTATGGCATAGGGAATGCAGTTAGCATTAATATATTGGCTAGGTGGAAAACCAGAGGAGAGAAGGAGCAATTAGGGGGATCATTTTATGAACTAGATAAATGTCTAACAATGTACTGTGTACTTGAAACTAATTAAAATAAATAAATTAATTTAAAAAAAGACTCCTTCAGGACCATATTTAACCTGGAAAAAAAAATTAAACCTATAATGAAATTCCATTTTTTACCTTTCAGATAAAAATATGATAAATCCTTTTAGGAAACAGGTTTGTACACTGATAAATAGTGTGCCTTGATAGGATCTCTCTATATCCAAGAAAAATGCACATAACCATTTGAACCAGCAAGTCCACCTCCAGGAAATTATCCTGTAGATACCTTCTAATGTACAAATTAATGTCTATATAGTGAATAAATATCAATTAATTGAGGATTGATTAAATAAATTAAGGTACTTCATACCCTAGAATACTAAAAAAAAACGAAAAAAGAAAGAAAGAAAATGTTTTAAGTCAGCAGATGTTTTCAACTATTTTAAATTCCGTTGAGGGTTTGAGAAACTGAAGACTTAGAATTAAGCGTTAGATTTGGCAACGTGGCAATCATTTGTAATTTTTAAGTACAGCGTTGGTGTACTGTGTGACAGAAGATTACTTTAAGGAGAGAGTGGTCATTTGGGGCGTGTGCTTTTAAGACAGAGAAGGGTCCATAGGCTTCAATACACTAAGGTGCTATTATAACCTTAGCAAGAGTGGAATGCTGGAATGATGTGGGTGTAAATCATATTAACATGAATGATGGACTAAGTTAGATCTAAGGAATGTGAGAATGCATGTGTAAACAACTTTTTTGGTTTGGAAGGGAATATTAATCTATTCAAATAATATATTTTTGGGGTGTTTATTATGAGTCAGGCACTGTTCCAGTTACTGGGGAAAATTCACTGAACAAAACAGATCAAGCCCCTTCACTTCATTTGACCGAAGCAAAGTGAGAGGGAATGAGCTATGTGGATGTCTGAGGGAAGAATATAGCAGGCACAGGGGAAAGAAAGAGCAAAACCTCTGAGAGTGATTGCTTGCCTTGTTTGAGAACAGTGAGTATAACTGAAATGAGAGTAGTAGGAAATGAAGCTAGAAAAGTAGCTTGGGCCAGATAATTTAGGGCCTTAGAGGCTGCGAATCTGACTTCATATTTTATTAATTAAAATAAATACAATGATGAGTGTTGGGAAACCCTTACAGGACTTGGAGCAGGAGAATAACATGATTAAATTTTTATTTTAAAAGGATTTTTTGGATGCTGTAGAGAGCAAGTGTTTAGGCAAGGAGGCTATTGTAATAGGCCAGGCAAGAGATAATAATTGTTTGGATTAGGCTGATAGCAGTAGAGGTGGTGAGTGGTAGATTCTGTATATATTTTGAAGGTATGTATTGTGAAGGATTTGCTGATGAATTCTCCCTAAGGGATGACATATAGAGACTGAGAGAACAATCAAGATATTTTGGTTAGATCAACTGAGTAGATGGAAGGGTCACTTAGTAGAAAGATTATGGAAAGATCAAGTTTTGGTAAGAAAAATCTAGATTTCAGTTTTGGACATGCTAAATTTTAATGCTTATTAGTATCTAAGAAGATATCCTAGTTGGAAATGTGATTCTGTAGTTAGGAGAAAGGTTGACATCGGAGATGTAACTTCGGGAATCATCAGCATAAAGATGGTAACTGAAACAATGAAACTGGATGAGATAAAATAGGGAGTGAATGGAATAAAGAACAGAGGAGACCCAAGTAGTGACATCGAGGGCACACCCGCATTCATGAAGACGAGGAGAGTGCAGCAAAGAGGACTGAGAGGGGTTAGTAATAGTGGAGCAAGTATAAGAGCTATGGTGTTCAGAAGCTAAGTGTAGAAAAAGTTTTAAGTAGAAGGAAGTTACCAATTATTTTAATACCTCAGAGAGTTTGAGAGAGATGAGAATTAGCAGTTAGATAGTGTGGAAGCCATTTCTAGCCTTTCTAAAAGCAGCTGTGCTGTACTCGTGGAGGGGTGAAAGCTTATTTGGAATCAGTTTTGGAGAAAATGGGAGCAGAAAATGTGAGACAACTCTTCCAAGGAATTTTGCTATAAATGGGAATAGTCATATGAATACATATTAATTAGCAGATTGGGTTTGGGAATATGAGATAGTTCTCTTCTTCTTGTTTTTATTTTCTTAGTGAAATAAGAAGTGAGTCGTTCTCGAATAAAGGGAAAGACAAGCTGATATTGGAGGCTGGAGAGAAAGAAAAAGGTTTCAAATAGTCATCTTGAGAGTGGGAAAGTGGGAAATATAGAATAATTAATAATCATTACGGAGGGTTCATTTGAGATCTGTGCCATGAATTTAAAGCAAAGTGAGGTGAATCATCATAGTTATTTTTTATTTTCAACTATATTCAACTGCTTGGGTCTCGGCATCAAGTAGATAGTAACAAAGCTGGATTTAATTAGAGTGGGGGTTTTGCCAGGTAAGTACCATGGAGGGAGGAGGGAGTAAAAGAGTTGAGTCCATACAAGCAAATGATTACTGTAATATGGGTGAGCAAGGAAAGTAAGACATGGTGGAGAGTGGGAGTGGGAACGATAATGTATAAGGAAGAGGTGATAGAGTTAGTGGGTTTGGTTTTGAAATTGTGAAAGAATTGTCGTATTGGGAAAAGCATGTTTGAAAGAAAGCGTGCTGGTTTTCAGAGGATGGAATGCTTGCAATTGAACTTTGGAAGTGGTGCCTTCATTGGCGATTATGAAGTCAAGGATGTGACTGGGAATGGGGTAGCTAAGGTTAGATGAGGAAAAGATTGTTGGAAATGGAGGGCTCAAGGAACTGAAAAGGCCACACATCTAGGTGGAACATCTCTGAATATTGAAGTCACTAGGAATAATCATGAGAGTAGTAGTGAAGGGAAAGATGGATAGCGAACCAGGAGCTAAAATCTTCAATGAATGAAAGCATGTGATCTTGAGATCATGAGATAACTGCAGTAATCAGGAATAGCAGGTGGTATAATCCTATGTTATATGCTTCTGAGAAGCTGGAGTTTTTGAAGAGCAAGAGGAATGGTAAGGAAGAGTAAGAAATTCTAAGCAGGGGAAGGGGTTGGTAAATGAGAACAGGTTTTGTGGTGTTGATTGGAGAATGATATACCAGACAGAATGAAGTTGAAAGTTTGGAAGATGATCACTGATTAGAAAGGCCTGCATTTTAATTTGGTGATGACTGATAATGAGGGCCGTGAAGAATGGGTAAGGTTATGTTTTACCAAACTATATTTGATATGTAGCAGTCCACATAATGTTATATTAATTTCTGTTTTTAAAATAGTACAGATGGGTTCAAATTCTCATTTCTATCTTCTCCTTCTGTCTTGGTTGATAACTAACTACTGGGATGTAATATGTACGAATGCAGATCATTTTGAATTTATTCTAAAATTTAAATAGGAAAATTGAAAGGGAAGGTAAAGTGACTAAGGTGATTTGGAAATAGGATAAGTAAGTCTTTTTGCTGGAATTCACTTAAAGAAAGAAAATGAAAGTGTGAGCCCTGGTACTGTTTCAATAAATGACTAAATAAATATCTCTGCTTTGTAGTTTGCAAATTAATATTGATTATTTTTTTTCCAGAGGAAGAAATACTACCTAGTGATGTGCAGAAACAATTAACTTCAATCTCTGAGGAGATGATGGATCTGGCTAAACATCTTCCTGACACTTTCAGAAAACTGGAAAATCCACAGAGGTTAAATATCATCTTTTTTTTTTTTAATCTGTTTGTTCTTATAGCATTTTCCTATATTTGAGGAAATATACTGTTCATTAAGGTAGACTCATGAATACATGCACACCAACTGATGTATAAATTTGAGAAATATCTTTCCATTTGTTAAATGGAAAGTTTAAGGCTTTTCTGTCTGCTTTGTAGGATGTTTTATGAAACAAAGGCAAAGTAAAATTCGTTAAGTCCATATGAAGAAAAATACTTAAAATTCAATGTTGTCTTTTTTGTGTTTACGGGCATCTTTCATTTAATTGTAGTTTAATCACTTGAAATCTGTAAATAAAAGCAACCTTTATACTTAGTAGCTTCAGTTTTCTGGTTATTATCTGATTATTATATAAGAATTCTACCTAATCAGTAGACTATTAGAACAAGAGGCATTCATATTTTAAAGATCATTTATAGTTAACGCATTAGAAAACTCGAGATATTTGGATTAATAAACATTGGACTACTGGTGCTATGTAACTCTTTTTGGAGTCAGGCCTTGCCCCAGTCTCAATTGCTAAATGAATTCTTTGTGAAATCTGAAAGGATTGCTCTTGAACAGTGAATGATTACAGTGTGGTAATATAATTTTGAGGCAAATATACTTTGTGAATATGAAGCAGTTAGTTGAAATTCAATTCTGACTGACCAAATGAATGTAATGTATGCTTAGTTTTGGATATTTGTGATATATTTCGTTTGAGAGATTTCAAAGTATGATATATAAATTCTGCTCTTTTTCAGTCATTTGCACTCCCCCAGCAATTTTTTTAGTAGTTTTTTGTGTAACTTTGAGAATTTCTGAAAGATGGAGTGCATGAGGCTACTTTCAGAGCATGTTTGCTTTTCATTTATTGATACAGTTTGACAAGCTTGGATATCCAGTTAAAGTGAAAACCAGGTATAGGTAAGATTTGGTGTGCACGTGACAGCAACTGGAAGTTATCTCTGAAGGAGTGGACAAAACTATAAAAATTAGAAATAAGAACCCTTAAAAATAGAGCAATTTGAGGTTTGTTATAGAAGGGAACAGTTTTATTGCTTCAGTGGACCTGGGAAGGTATTGGATTGTACAGTACTATTTAGTTATTGATTTCAATTCAATACATATCTGTTGTACTGCTGTCATGTCCTTGACATTCTGCTGGGTACTGAGGTTGTCTGCAGGCTACTAATATACATAATAACGTTCCTAGGAAAGAAGGAAAAGTACACTGTGCCTTATTGTAGACAGCAGGACAGCTTTTGATATTATTTAGAGTAAATAGTTATCTTAGGTGAAATGTATTATCCTCTGATGTTAGGGCAAGATAAATGAGCCCTTACAGTTTTGTCAGTCTGTGTGTGGCACTGTTGCTATGTTTACATGTCACAGCATCCTCTGTGCATTTAACAATGAAATATGTCACATATCTGTTCCTACTAATGTATTTACATACACATCTTATATTTGGATACCCGTGTATAATGTTAAATGTTCTTTATAAGATTTGAAGTTTTAGAGTGTTAGAATTAGTGGGTTTTTAGATTTAAGTTTAATTTGACTTTTGTTTGTATTGATGTACACTTTGTAAACTTAAGCTGAGACCAACTTTGAAGTACTGTTAATAGTGCTGTTTTCGGTATGGAAATAACTCATGAAACAACGTAGCATTTTTTATTTATTTCCATGAATGATTAAATCTTTATATGAATCATCAATATAAAACTTTAAAACTCATGTCAGATTTTATTGTGTTGATTTTAATACAGAAAAATTAGAAGAGCTCAATATAAGCATTAGTTAAATAGTAAAATGTATCTCTTTGCTCATCATGTTCTCTTTTCTCCCTCTAATTTCTACTTTTGTGAGGTAACTAGAAATTGCTGTAATAAGCCCCATAACCAACAGACAAGACAGTGTGCCTCATTTTACACTGTAGCAGTGGTTTTCCTTTCTAGTTAACTAAATTGGGTCATAATGTAGTTATTTAAAGTCACTTAGTTAAAGTGTTATAGTAGGAACTATAATTAAGGAGTTAACAAATTCTGCTTATATTTATTCATATACAACTTCTCCATAGTTTCTCACTTCTTATATTTTCCCACTGAAAGGAAGTATTTTTCTATTCCAGAGTATATGTGTCTAGTTTTGAGATTTTTGAAGATACAAAACAGCATAATTTTCGAATTATAATATAAACACTCTTATGTGTTTTAGTGAGGACTAGTTTGATCAGTAAATTGAAAAAAAGAGGTAAAACATGGGATCATAAAATTTTTCTTTTAACTTAACATATTAATATGTATGTGTTCCTAATGTTTTGATATACTTCATGGCTTCTTCATTAAATATAGGCCTGATATTTGGCGTTTTGCAGAGTGTTTCTTGTTTAAATACACCCATATGTATCATCTATAGTTCCAGTTTCAGTTTCTTTAAAATGGAGTGAAAACTTAAGACACTTGAAGCAGTCTTAATGCAGGGTTCTAAGTTTTTTCCTGCAAACTTGTATAGTTATTTGAACTATAGTTAATCAGACAGAACTTTTTTTTAAAAAAGGAAATTTGCTGTCTTTCCACATGTTCAACTTAGAATTCAATGAAATAGTGTTTTTTTTTTTTTTAGTGTTCATGTATCATTAATTCAATTTACATTAAATTAAGATAATTATCATAAAAAGTAGGATTGACATAAACATCTAGTTCGGGACCAAACACTTCTGCACTTGATAAGTCAACTGTTGAATGCAGAAGTACATTGATGTATAATGAGTAGCCTACCAGCTATATGCATATAGCGGGCATTAGGGAATGAAGAGCAACTTTAATCCAGTATGTCCTTAATTGAAAGTCAGTTTAGGAAGCTTCTACTTAATTCAAAAGCATTGTCCTTATAGTTAATGCAATCAAAGTTGAATTAACTTTTCTTAAATTTTTTTTTAGGGTTTCTGTACTATTGAAGGATATTTCAGAAAACATACATTCTCTGAGAAAGATGATATTTAGTTCTACCAAGCCCAGCAATAATTTTAACTTTTTACAATTGGAAGATCCAACTGCTGGTGGAGTACAACAGAAACAAATTAGAAAAGATGAAGGTTTTACTAACATTAAAGATGAGACATGGGATATAACGCCTGATAATTTAATTACACATGATGAAGAAAATGTGCTTGGAAATGAAGTAAAACAAGAAGATGGATTTGAAGACAGACTAGAAGACAATAAGCTGAAAGAGAATACAGAAAGAACTTGTTTGATGTCATTAGATATTACAGAATATGAACTCCAGATTTTGGAACAGCAGGCTCAGGAAAAAAATCTTAGTGATGTTACCTGCAAATCTCCTGAGGTACTAAATAAGAGAAAGCGATTTCTATTCACTAATAGGGGTTGGCTGATTTTTTTTATGTAAAGGGGCAGATAGTAAATATTTTAGACTTTGTAGACCACAGTCTCTGCTTTCACACTAAATTCTGCTAATTTAGTGTGAAAGCAGCTATAGACAAAAGTAAACAAATGAGCTTGTCTGCGTTTCCATAAAACTTTATTTACAAAAACAAAAAGTGGGCCGGATTTGGCTTTTGAGCCATATTTTGCTGCTCCTGACTTAGTATAAGAAGTATCTGTTATAGTCTTCTAGTGGATTTTATAGTGTCAATACATATTTGTAGTAATATGCTATTTTAGCATTTCTCTTGCTGTTTACATAATAGATATCGCTGCTGTTTTTTAGATTCCCTACATATCTACTAGTGTTTGGTAGTATTTTTATTTCCTCGTGCAGAATTTCTTTACTTGCTATTGTGAGACGATTTCTAATAAACTGATGTTTTCGTTTGACACTAACATTTACTGTCATCTGGAGAGTCAGTAACCTGTTTTTTCTTAATAGATTATTGTTAAACATTCTATATTGTCTCTCAACTTCATGTTTAGATTTTTAATTATTATGTTCTGATTCTATTAGTTTAATTTGTGTGATTTTGTTTTTTTCCTGGCTAAGTTAAGTGTATTTTTTGAAATAGCGAAGTTGTCTTAGAAGAATCATTATGTTTCTTTCACTGTAAAGACAGATCATAAAAAGAGACATCAAATAGCTGTATAGCTTTATCTCATTTATTTTTCATTAAAAAATTACCTATGATTCCCATTTTCAGCACAATTTTATACATTTTCTTTTACAATAACTAAGTTATAAGTGTTTTAAAATTATATTTAAGTCATTTAATAAGGTTATTTCCCCCTTAGTTCTAATGGCAAAGTCTCAGTATTTGAGAAATTCTTTATGATTTGGTTACTATAGTAGTAATCATTTCTATCAATATATATAAATGCATATAAGTGATCTGACTGACATTGTTTACCCCAACGATTGCTATTTTTATTGTGTGATAATTATTAGCATTTTTCTTTATTCATTGACGACCCAATTTGAGAAGTAAAATTTTTTCTTCTTGTATAAAACTTATTTAAAAAAATTTTTTTTAAAGCTTAATTTTTGCAGTTTTGAGGCTATACTTTCTTTTCCTACTTACAGTTTTAAGATTAGACATTTGGGGAGGTCCTTCCTGGATATTTCTTTTGTGGGTTCTTTTGTGCTAGTCACCATGCGGTTGGATACTTGCTTCCTGGGTATTGCCAAATATTGTAAAGGTTCCTCATATCCAAACATCAGCTATAGCTGAATAAATAACTTATATGACACTTTTTCAAATTTATATAGATGCTATCTGTAAAATAGTGATTTCATTAAAGGTATTTTTACAGTCGTAGTAGCTTTTTTGTGATCTTTGTGAAGTTAGTGGATAGAAAAGAACAATTATTGTTCCTGGCTTTGTACAGAAATTTTCAACATTGCAAAGAAGTTTGTACTCAAAAAGTTTGGGAAACGTGGTTTGACATTGTTTACCTTGGAGTTGAACTTGTTACTTTGTATTCTCATTTGAGTGTGGGCTTTATTTCAAGTCTGCTTATCTATTTTGTCTCTCTTTCCAATTATATTTCCTTCTCTTTTTATTTGGTTCTTAGTCTCTATGTTTATTCCTCCTCTTTCTTCCTTCCTAGCACCCTCTCTCCCTTCTTTTCTTTCTTTCTTCTTGTCATATAAACATATAAAATGTATTATGCATTTATCTATGAGAACTTTATTTTGTAGAAAAGAGGATATGGAATCAATTATACTGGAAATTCATGTTTGAAATACTTGTTTTTTCTTTTTTAAAGCATTTATCCCCCAAGGATAATGAAGAGGATGTATCTTACGTAATTGAAAGTGATGAAGATTTAGAAATGGAAATGCTTAAGGTATGTTTAAAATTATGGAAAATTACTTCAGTTCTTTCCAAAGAACATTTAATTAAATAAAATATTACTTAATTCTAAACTGGCCCCACCACAATGAGATTGCTATCAATTATGTAACATTAGATTTTGTTTTCTTTTTCTTATTTTTTTTCCCCCTCTTTAATTCCCCCGCTCCACTTCCACCCCTGACTATGGATGTTGCTGTTTCCGCTTAAGACCTGGATCTCTGAAGGCAGGGCGCCTTTTCCCACGTGCTTGTGGCGTGCTAGGGTGTGCACTTCGGGCCTGGCATACTTGGCGCGCTTGCGGCGGGGGCGGGGGAGCTGGTGCACCCGGGGTATGGTCCCCCGGGGCATGGTCTGTGGCGCCACTGGGGCACGAACTCCAGACTTTGTGCCCGTAATGCAGATGTTAGCACCACTACTCTATGGAGCCACCCTAGATTTTGTTTTCTCATTCATATTTTTTATATCTTTATGTGGTCTGTGAATAAACTTTTAGTAGTAATATGCCAACTTTTGCATACCGGAAAACATACTAGCATGTTTTCTCTGTTCCCTTTTAGGTCACTTTCTTTTAATCTTTCCTGCAATGTGGGTAGTGATTCTGCTCTCCAGTATTGAAATCGTTTCCTTTTCTTCTTATCCATGTATGTCCCCTTTTATTTGGATGTTTATTTACTATGGATAATTTATATTTACTATATATAATTTTCTAATGTTTTGAATGGTTCAGTTTTCCCATTATCAAATTTGAAATTATTTTTTAATTTATGTATTTTCTACCCCTTCACCCAACCTCCAGTTTTTGTTGTGTTGCGAACCACGTATGGATAATGAGAAAGAAAAGCCTAAATTTTGACAATATAAGTGAAAAATGAAAATATGGAAGTTCACCATTATGCATACTTTTTGTTCCTCATTTATAGATCGATGTGATTTTTCTTTATATGAAATGAAATTAGATTTCTGATTTTTTAATTTTGAAGCAGAGTAATGAGTAATGATTAGGAATGTGGATTCTGAATTTAGATGTGGGTTCGAAATCCAACTTCGCCATTTATTAGCTGTGTGACTTTGATCAAGTTTTTTAGCTTTATTGATGCTCAGTTAACAAGTTGTAATTATTATTTAAGGTGTTTTACTTGTGACGAGCTTAGTATAGAGCTTTGTATTTTGTAAGTGTTTAATAAATATTAACTGAGAGTAATAAATGTTAAGTCATATTCCTTTATTGATTAACCATTTCTCTGAAGAGTTTTATTCAAGTAGTGCATTTATAGGATACTTGTAGACTTCTATAAACTTATATATCGAACCTCTTAGAAGGCAACCTGGATGCCCAGATGAGAGAACTTATTTCCTTTTTTCTTTTTCTTTTTTATTAAATGTATTGGGGGTGACATTAGTTAATAAAATTATATAGATTTCAAGTGTGCAGTTTGATAATACAGCATCTATTTTTATTCTCAAAATGCTTTTTTGAGTATGTTTGTTGACTTGAATAAAAAATCAGGAACAGAATCACCTTTTTTTTTTTTTTTTCCTGTTCCAGGCCTGAAGCAAATACACTTTTTAGAAAGCCTTTAAAGTCAAATTTATTAGATGGAAGATTTAATAAAAAAAAGAAAATGAGAACTATGGTTTAATAATGCTATCATTTCACAGTAAAAAATTGTATAAATGAAACAATTTTGAAATATCCCAACATTCTTTAAATAGATAATCTTCATGTAGGGGAGGAAATCAGATACTGTCAAGCCAAAATTAAAACAAAACACTTTATTTCACATTTGTAATATTTTTTCTTAAAATTACTTGAATCTCGTTGTTTTGACAATTGCAAAAAACACATTTATTGTTTGCTTATAATGTAAACCTTATGCTTATTCAAAAAGAATGTGACCGATCTGTGTGATATAAACTCATTAGAAAAATAACATTAAAACTCACATTTACCACTTAAGAATTGAAAACATTTAAGTATGATAAAGAAAAAGTGTTTTTAAATGATCTAAATTCAAAATTTATGATAACTCTCCCCAGGGGCAGTTTATTATACGCTATTAATGACCCTTGTTTATGCAGTAAGTATTCCATCTTTGGCCTTGTGCCTTAGAAACCATTCTTCAGCACATATTTAAACTGGAGCACACATGTTCTTTTGTGGTATTGCACGCATCTGCCAGCTTTGAACAAAATTGTAGGCTCTGTTAATAATACTCCTTTTGTGTTTGGTGAAAAAGATATGACATTGTCAATGGTTTTGCTTTTAAAATTATTTTTAAACTTTCAGTCTTTAGAAAACCTAAATAGTGTCACAGTAGATCCAATTCATTCAAAATGCATAGAAATGGAAGGAAATCTGGATGTTTCTTCTAAAGAAGATGAAGATGAGGATGAAGCTATTGAAGAGGAAGAAGAATATGAAGGTAAGCACTGTAATATGTTTGAAATGACTCACCTCTGATACCTACCACTGACTCTAAATGTTTTAGAGGTCAAGAATTTTGTGGCATATAGTTAATTATGTCTTAAAAACTTGTCGTTAAATTCCTTCGTGCTTTGGTCTTCATAAAGCACAATCTTATTTATAAAAGTAGAGTAATAGTAGTATTGTGTCATTTGGTGACTGGTGATGTGAAAATTTTCATCCTGAATTATATATTTTGTTTGTCAAAATCATAAAAAAATTGCTAATAAAAGTTATTACTTATAGTAACCATTATGATAAATGGCATAGATACATAGTATCTGTTCCTCAGAAGCTTATTAAAATAAGTGGCACAATGTCAAATAGCAAAATGTACTAATTTTCATACTGTGTGTGCTAACTATAGTAAAGAATCCACTGAGCAAACTTCTATTATGTAAGTGTAAGTAACAGTATTTATTATGGCAAACTGTGGGGTCTTCTCAGAAATCTAGAGCTGGATTTCATCAGCAGTATAAGGTGAACATATAAAATACATTTTTTAGTTAGAAAATATATGAAAATGTTAAACAATGTTTTTCTCTTTGTTTTCTTGTATTAGATATAGACGCAATATCTCCAAATCAATTTAGTTTTTTATATTTAGAGCTGTTAAAGCTGAGAAGTATAATCATGAATTTTTATTTATTTAGAGATGAATTATCTTGATTCTTTGTGGTGTTCTTTCTTGACCACGCATGAACCTTTCAACCTGAGCAGAAAATGGTATCAATTGGATAAAATTAACATAACTCCTTTGTGCTGCATAGTTAGAATTTTGGTTCAAGATTTGGTGGAGTGATAACTAAGATGAAGGATTTATTTTATCTGTGGATTTTATTTGTAATGTAATTTCTGATTATCATTAGTTGCAAGTTGGTTATATTATAAAATTTGGATTTGTATATCATTTGCCATTGGTTGGGTCCAAAATGTTAGTTTTTAGAAGTATAGCATATTCCAAAACATTGTTTTTTGCAGTGCTAGCGAAGTGTGAACCAGAACAAAGTTCTAATCATTAGATTATCAAGGTGTTTACCTGGAGTCATGATTGGTACTTAAAAGACGAAATTGGTTGGATTTATAAGACAGAAAACAATTACCTTTGGTACCTATCACTATATTCTTTATAAGAAACCAATGAAATAAAACTTTTATTCCCTCTCACCATATGTACTTCTATTTTAACATAAATGCCCTTTTTATTTTAAGACCATTCGATACCAGAACCTAATGCGAAGCAAGTTATTTGCCTCAAAACCTACTTTGGCCATTCCAATTTTAAGCCGTAAGTATAATCTCAATTAATTGCATATTTACTGTTTTATTCATAAGGGAAAAAAGGCAAATAATCCCTCCATTTAACAGTAACAGCACAACTTCACTGCAGTTTATCCATGCCACACTGTATTTCCTGTGACTACAAAGTCATTTTGAAGTAATATTTACATAAAACTCATATTTGTAAATTATTTTTATAAGCAAGGAAAAATGATTTTCCTGTCCATAGAGAGGTCTCAGTAGAAACTAGTTTAAATTCATTAATAAATGAATGTTAATTTAGTTCTGACTTCTTTTTCATTAAATAAGTATGTGTGTGTCTATTTTGTACATCTTATTATCCAAAGTATGACGATATAATAGAATTTCATAAGAAAACAGTTTGAAGAACAGTGATAATCTTTTCAGTTTTAATATATTCAAACATATTTACATCTATAAGCACACTTATAAGTACTGAAATGAGATGTGGCATAAGTATATTTGAATGAAACTAGTAAGAATGTAAAAATGTAGACTTTTTTTTTATTCTAGAAATTTAAAATTTAATCCATGGAAGCATTTCTTTCCTTTTTCCTTTTAATCTTAATTTATTTTAATGTTCTGCATACAGAAAAGTGCACATGAATGTACAGATCAATGAATTTTCACAAACTAGGTACTCTGTGTCACCAGCACTCAGATAAGAAAGGATAGGTCATCATCACACCAGAGATCATCTTCCTATTTGATTTAAAAATGTTCAAATACTTTATTTAAAAATGTTCAAAGATATACATACAGTAAAGTTGAAAGAATTTTTTTTACTATAAATACCTATATATTTAACATTTTGCTATACTCGCTTTGTCACATATCTGTTGATCATCTTTATACATTCCTTAATCCATCCAGTTTTTAAAATGCATCTCAAGGTAAATTATGGATGTTATTACACTTCCTCCCTAAAAACTTCAGCATATAAATTATTAACTATTGTTAAATACTTATTTATTTTTCTTTTGATGTAAAATTTACATACAAGGAAATGGTCAAACCTTAAGTGTACATTTGCAAATCTTAAGTGCATAGATATGCACTCATGTAACTTAAACTGCTACTAAAATATGGAATACTACGGTCACTCCTGAAACTTCCCTCATTTCCCTTCTCAGTCAATCCTTGCCCCTGGATAATTTTTCTTATTTATTTTAAATCAATGATTCTATTGGAAATCTAGTATGAAGCTTGGAATTTATTTTATACTTTAGTATCTGTAATAAAAATTAATGCACGTATATACTAATAGAAATTCCTAGTTGTTCAGTCAACTTGTATGAGAGATTGATCAAATGGGGCTCTTTGTTTCAAAGTTCTAGGGTTCATACATTTTTATATTGAAAATCAAAATATGAAAGAAATTCTATTAGAGGATGTGAAAAAATTAAATAGGTTTCAACTTGTCCTTGGGTTTCTTATTAGTAAAACAAAATAGCTTTTTGCTTTTTCACCCTCTAGGGTTCAGTGGAAAGTGATTTATTCTGTATTGAAGGAAAGAAGAGATAATGTTGTTGTCATGGCAACCGGTACGTTATACTTAAGCAAATAACCTCATCCTTTAACAAATAAAACTTAAAAGTTTTGAAATGCCTAATCTTTCATTAAGTTCTCAAAATACAAATACAGTAGTGCCCCCTTATCCATGGTTTCACTTTCTTCAGTTTTAGTTACCTATAGTCAGCCGTGGTCTGAAAATATTATGTGGAAAATTTTGGAAATAAGCAATTCATAAGTTTTAAAATGCCCACCGTTGTGAGTATTGGGATGAAATCTCACATAGTCTACTCTGCCCTGCCCAGGATGTACATCATCCCTTTGTCCAGAGTATCCATGCTGTATACACTACTTTTCTGTTAGTCACTTAGTAGCCATTTTGGTTATCAGATCATCTATCCCAGTGTTGTAGTGCTTGTGTTTAGTAATCCTTATTTTACTTAATAATGACCCCAAAGTACAAGTGTAGCGATGCTGGCAATTTGGACACGCCAAAGAGAAGCTGTAAAGTCCTGCCTTGAAGTGAAAAGGTGAGTGTGGTACAATTAGATATTTTGAGAGAGAGACCACATTCACATAACTTTTATTTTAGTATATTGTTATAATATGTTGTAATTTAGTATATTGTTATAATATAGTGTATTATTCTATTTTGTTATTAGTTATTGGTAATCTCTTACTGTGCCTAATTTATACTTTAAACTTTATCATAGGTAAAACAGTAGATACAGGGTTCAGTATTATCCATGGTTCCAGACATCCACTGGAGATCTTGGAACATATCCCCTGTGGATCTTACGGGGCTACTTCTGTACAAACACAAATGGTGTGAAATATAGAAGCGAGTGAACTGAGTAGATGCTTAAATTTGTGCATAAATTAGCTCTTAGGAAGATAGCATATTCATAAGTGACCATTTATCTCATACAAATACAATTGTAAGAAGAAATCAAAGTACCGAGGCTTTATTTTTATTTCAATGAGTGTATTATTTTTATTTCAAGGATATGGAAAGAGCTTGTGCTTCCAGTATCCACCTGTTTATATGGGTAGAATTGGCCTTGTCATTTCTCCTCTTATTTCTTTGATGGAAGACCAAGTGCTCCATCTTAGGTAAGTAATGTTTTTATTGCCACATCATTACTTTTTTTTTTCCTTCTCCGAAGGACACATTTGTTATATCATGTATGTTAAAATCCATTTCACAGTAACATGTCTCTATAAGTGTTGCCTTATCTTTATAAGTAATAAATGACACTTCAGCGGAAGAACTTACCTTTTTCTTGAGTTTTCTGTAATTCAAGGCCGCTGGGTGGCCCTGATAAAAATTTTTTTAAAAGCATACTTTATGCAAGTTTAAATTGTGTATCACAGAATTATTTTCTTTTAGTTACTTTTTCTCTTTAGCTTGGTATGAAACATAAAAGTCTATTTAGTTATGAAAAATTTTGTTTTTGAAAAAACCCACCTTAATTAACTTGTCTTCTACTAGAGTCCTTAGAGGAATTTATCAAATTAGTGAGTTACCAAAAGAATGAGGATTGCAAAGAAGAGAAATGTGCATCATTATATTTCTTTATTCCTTCTTACTTAAGAATGAAGTTGGTATTTGTAGTGCGTACATGGATCTTAAATGTTTGTTTTTTTCCATTATAGAATGTCCAACATTTCAGCTTGTTTTCTGGGATCAGCACAATCAAAAAATATTCTAAAGGATATTAAATCGTGAGTAATTTATATGATTTCTGATCATTTGGTCAGGTGTTTATATATGTGAGAGAATTTTGTACACAAAAATACTTTATTTAATGCGTGAACAAAATGTCCATGATTTAAAAATGTACTTTCTTTTTATAGTACACTTGTAGAACTGTTAATTTAAAAATCTTTCAAACTTAATCTGTTATTTTCAGTTCTTGGACTGTAAGGTCAGCATTGTAATCATAGGATTGTAAAATTTTGGTTTGGGAAGAGAGCTTGTAGAGTATCTAGTTTTGCCTCATTTTACAGGTGAGGAAACTGAGGTTCAGAGAAAGAAAGTAATTTGCTGAAAGTCACTCACTCAATGAATTAATGGCTGAGCAGGGACTGTATTCTAGATCTCTTGCCCCATTAATCCCATTATGACATAATTCCTAACAAGAATAAAATTGTCAGACATGCAAAAATATATGTATATGTCTATTAACATGTGTACTGATATGTGTATATATTAATACACGAGCATACGTGTATTTACTGAGTTTTCAAAAATGCATATATATAACCCAAACCCCTATCAAGATATGTTTTCTTCTTTTATAAACATTTTTAATCACTTTCATTGAAGTAATTGACATACAATAAATTTTACATACTTAAAATGTATAATTTGGTAAGTTTTTGGCAAATAGGTACCCACAAAATCATCACCACATCTAGATAATTAACATATCTATCATCCTTGAAGATTACTCATACTTTTTGTAGTCCATTCCTCCCACTTTTCCCTACCTTCTTTACCTCACTCACCAGGTAACTACTGATCTACTTTGTCACCATAGATTAGTTTATGTTTTCTAAAATTGTACATAAACAGAATCAGTCATATTATGTGTGTTCTTTTCTTGTCTGATTTAAATTACACAGCATAATTATTTTGAGATTCATCCATGTTGTTACACATATCAATAGTTCATTCCTTTTTATTGATGAATAGATTACATCATATAGATATGCCACAATTGTTTATCTATTCACCTGTTGATGGAAATTTGGACTATTTCCAGTTTTGGGCTATTACAAATAAAGCTGCTAGGAACGTTTGTATACAGCCTTTGTATGGACACATGCTTTCATTTCATTGGTAGAAACCAAGGAGTAGAATGACTGGATCATGTGGTAGATAAATGCTTAACTTTTTTTTTTCTAATTGGGGTAAATTTACATAATTTAATATTCATTTTAACTATTTATAAAATGTACAGTTCAGTGGCTTTTAGTACATTCACAACACAAAGTTATCAGTACTTCATTTCTTTTCATGGATAAATAATATTTCTTTGTATGTACATACAATATTTTGTTTATCCATTCATCAATGATGGATATTTAGGTTGTTTCTACTTTTTGGCTGTTAAGAATGTGCTTCAAACATTTATGTATAAGTTTTTCAATGAACATATGTTTTCATTGTTTTTTTGTATATGCCTAGGAGAGGAGTTGCGGGGCCATATGGTACTTCTATGTTAACTTTTTAAGAAACTGCCAGATTTTTTGAGAGTAGTTTCTTTTATTTCTTTAGCCTCTCAGTGTCTTCCTCATTCTTTTCTCTGAGCAGATGAGCATTCTCTGCGTTTTGTCACAAAATATAAGAAGATTGCTTTGCCTCTCTTTTTTGTTTTTACATGGTACATGTCTTGCCACTTGCAGAGACTGAGGGGGGCAGTGGTAGGATAATGGGTTGTAGTTCTTCAGGAAGGAAGGTGGTATATAGATGGAGTGCTAAAACATAAAAGGTTTACTATAGGCTTGATCGTTTAACTCGTGAACCATAGTTTTGGGGCTAGACTGTTAGAAATCAGAACCAGGCTTCTAATGTCACCTTAATGCTGAGTACTTTCTGATAGCCATTCCCAGTTTTTATTTTGATGCATTGAAGTGAAATCGAAGAACAATATATGTGGATATATACACACTTAGCATTCATTTAGTTTTTAGTAAGTAGTGTAATGTATTATTTGAAAATTTACCAGGTATTATGATTTTAAGTTATAATTCATTGAGTGATTGTTTTCTTCATTGTATAATTCCTGTCCTGTTTCTTTTTTTGTTTGTTTTTACAGAGGCAAATACCAGATTGTATACTTAACTCCAGAATTCTGTTTAGGTAACTTTAACCTGCTCCAGGAACTTGAAGCTAATATTGGTAAGTGGTACAATGTAAGTATTATTATTGAATTGAGTTATTAAAAGTTAAACCTATGGATGAATACTGGATTTCTTTTCTCTTAAAGTTTATTTCAAACATTATCTCCTCCAGGAAATCTCTCACTCTCCAACTTGGTGTTTCTCCTGTCTTATCACATGGTACCCTGTAATTCCTTATGCCATAGAAATTAGTCTCCTGTATTATAATTACCTGTTTGTACATCTGTTTTGATCTGCTAGACTATAAACTTTTTTGGGGAAAAGTACCATTCTTATTTACTTATATTTCCCTAGTGCAGTGCCTGGCACATAGTAGGCATTTAAATGTAATGTTGAATTTATGTTGAATCATTGATTCTGCGAAATTGTAATTTTCTTTTCTTCATATTTTGAATCTAAATTAAATCAGTGTAGTGGTTATCCACCCTTATTGTTTAGTAGACTCACCTTTCAAACTTTAGAAAATTGTAGGATCCTTCAACCTTGAGAATCGGATTTAATGCCTGAGATGGGGCCCTGGCATCTGTCATTTTTCACAGATGATTTTGATGTGTAGTCAGGACTGGAAAACACAGTACCTTTAATTATTTGCCACCAGTGAGTATGATTAAGTAAAAAAAATTAGATCATGAGTCAGAGCTTATTTTCTAGAAAATATAAATATAGGATTAGTCAAAAGTTGACCTTTTTTTTGGATTTAAAAAATTTTCTCTTTTCCTTTTTGATGGTTAGGCTCAGCTATCTAAGAGTTGCAGTCAAGGCTTCTATTGGAAATGCACATATCTGAGTCATTCAATTAACCAACCAATCTTAGTTTTCTAATATTATATGATCTCATTATATAATTACATACTCATTAAAGTAATTCCACATAGGTAAGCTTTTCAACATTGCAACATCTCATTTAATGGTTATTTGCATATAACTCTAGGAAAGTATTTAACAGTTTTTCTAACAATATAATGAAAAAAAATTTGTATCATTTTAGTATGTATTAAATACCAAGAAAAGAATGAGGAAAGAAATTAACATTTGATTAAGTATATTGTCAAAGTGTGCATCAGCCATTAAACTCTCTTATTGGCATATTACATTTTTGCCTTTAATGGAAAACAAATTTGATGTGTCTCCTATTAGGGTGTATGAATTTCTTATGAATATTTTACTTTAGATTAAGCCTCACTACCCTGGATACATAAATTTCATGGTTTTATTGCAAAAGCTATGATCTGTGTCCATAGTGGTCTGGTTATCTTTTGTTCCATTTTAGTATTTTCTGTTTCTGTGATAGAGTTAATAAATTAGCTTAAGTCTGTACTTAGGATGGAGTTAATAATTAGCTTAAGTTTGTATGTATATCCTTTGACAGGTAGTTCTAATTCTGTTTATTTTTTGTAGTGGATTAAATTATAAACACTGCAATCATTACAGCAGAATACTCTGCATATGATGGATGAAAATGCTCCTTTTGGTTGACTTTCAACGTTAAACAAAAGGGGATAAATTCTTTTGAAATAGTTTTCTTTGGCTTCTGTTTGCAGGAAATTGTAAAATGCTTTCAAAAGTTAACATACTTAGAATTTTATTTGTACAGTAGTCTGACGTTTAGCTAATCAGATTCATGATTTTTATGATAAATGCTACTTTATTTAAGTAGTATGGATTTATAGCAGAAGCAACAAACATAATTTATATGGAGACTCCTTAAAACCAAACCCAGCTGTAATTGTCTTTTAACCTTTGGAAATAAGGCTTAAGTCACAAGTATGCCAACATGAAATATGTATAGGACCTGGTCAGACACTGAGACTTGCACATTTAAAGTGGAAGTTGGCAAGAGCTTACCTAAACTGATTGCGAGGGACAAAATTCACTTCTGTTAAAAGGTAGTCAAACCTGTGATTTTAAGGAAGGTTTTTAAATAAAGCAGGAGCCACCATCTTTGTTTTAATTTATTTAATTTAAAATCTTGGTCATTTTGTTTCTAAAGCCAAAATAAGTGTAGTGGTAACACTGAATTCTCTGCAACCACTCAGTAGTAACCAAAGAATTTTGATGCTAATCAACCCACTTTGATCATATTTAGTAGGTTTTTTTTTTGCTTTCTTTCTTCTCGAACTCTGTTATAGTTGGTAATTTCAATGAATTATAATTGTTTATTTGCATGTTTGTTCCTTTTAGAATTATGAGCTCACCGAGGTCATGGATTGAGTTTTATTAATCTTTTTATTCCTAGAAAAGTGTTTGGATCATAGTGGGCATTTACTAACTGCATAATAATAATAGTAATGTTTTTATTGAGATCTCTTTGTGCCAGGCCCTGTTTAGCATTTTATGTGAGTGATCTAATTTAATTTTCATAGTAGCTAATAAATGTTAGGTACTGTTATTATCTACCTTTTACTTGTGGGAAACTGCAACTTGGAAGCTTGAATAACTTAAGATAATACAAACGGTAAGTGGCAGAGCCAGGTTCTGCATCCAGGTAGTCTGACTCCAGAGTACATGCTTTTAATCACCCCTCCTTAGTGGCAGGACATTAATACTCATATAAGTACCAAGGAATGATCATCCCTAATGAAGGAAAAAATTATTTTTGTCTTAAGTATTAATTTGATAATTGAGGGTAAAAGGACTACTGTCATTACTTTGAACTATCTGAAGATGTTTTAATGGATGATTACACAATAAAGCCCTTTTCTGAAGTGCATGACTATACACTGTTGAT